TAAATGGTCATCGGTCCCTTACATTTATAGGAAAAATGGGTAAAAAGTACAAGATAAGCATCCCAGGCAAATTATTCATGGGAATAGGGGAAGGGAGTTGGGAGTAGATAAAATGCTTCTGGTTACGCGGCAATGAGGTTTTGTTGAAGCCGGACAAGGGGGAGGGGGTGGAAGGGAGAAACAAAGCGCGAAAAATGCAAACAGTTATGTGACCGTTGGACATGCCAAGCTCAGAGCTTGCAGGAGGTTCTTTTGCGCGCACAAAACCGCTATGATATTCGTTATAATGATGTAATGATGAACGCCATTACCCGCAGGTTTATCTTTTACATCCTTCCCATATAAATGTAATGTGAAAATTTGCAAATTTAAAATTGGATATGATTTAAAGGTAACGTAAGGAAAATATCTTTTTAATTCATTTGATAGAAAACCCTGCCTTCTTTTGTTTTGTCCTTGAAAACGTTTCTACCGTCTCTAGTGATGCCTACTTTGAGATCTTATGGTAATGCAATGTCCATTCGAATCGTTCTGTATCTGTTTGTATGGTAATATTTCTCATGTAGTTCATGGCATAGCCCGCATCCAATGCGAAATTCCAAGATCATTGTATGCTATATTCTTAATGGCATTGAAGAATAAATGCTAGGCTTTGCACGCGAAACATAAGACTTTTATACTGAAAACCATAAAATTAAATGCAACGGCAGATGGATATCGAAGTTTTTTGGGAAGTGAAAACCGTTTGAAAACCTAAATTCACCCGTTTGCGAGTGATAATTTTTAAAAGATGCATGCTCGGCCATTATTTGAGTACAAGAAATAATTCTTTTGCTTACGTTTACACCGGGTGATGGTCGACTAAGTTCGACTCGTCCTGTTTTCTTTGGGCCCCCTTGATATACAGTCTGGAATGTTAACATTTAAGGAAGTTGCTAAATCCGATGGTTTCTCTATAAATGTTGCGAAGATTAATGCGTTGTAGGCTGCGTATCTGACTCAGCTGAGGCACCCGTCTGGATTAAGGATAGACAACTTGAAAAAACAGACAGTTTCTGATGCTTCTGGACAAATCTGCTGTCAAATGGACGGATTACAGATATCATCTAATCCCTAATCGATTCTGTTTGCGTGGCTTATCAGAATCCCTAGAAATTTCAAATGGGTCCGATGCGACATTGTTCTTGTCACAACAGTCGACGTGTACCGGCCATTCGTCTAGTCAGGCTTCCTATACTATTGTAAATGTTCAGCAGAGTTTGTGAAATGCGAGCGAAAACTGAGAGTGAATACTCTGTCATATCCTAAACAGCAGGTTCCAAATGAAGTACACTGGCTTGGTGTTTCGCGGTGATAGTATTATGAAGATATCGCCAGTCATCTGCCTGATGTGCTCACTGTTGTCACCATAGATTCGGCATTCCTATTCACTTGACAGGGTCAAAGAGGCGGTCAAATTAATAAACGTCGCAACACAGTTCGTAACACGTGGGAGTGTTGTTGGATCTTCGGTATTTGGTCTCTGTTGCTAGGACCTCTACTTCCGTTGTAGCAGATTTTCACGCGCACTGAAGTGCAATCTGTGAAGCAATCAAGGACCACTAGGTCAGGCATGATAATAAATATAGGAGCTACAAGTACGAAAAGTGAGAATACGAACAATTATTAAGGAGGAATGGCAGATTTGATTAATTTAAGTTGACTAAATTGTGAGAAGTTGGACGGTTAAAATCGATCCAAAAGTGACTAAATTCACGGCGCAAGGTATGGAGTTTATAGCTCAACTGGTGGATCATTGGCTTTGCGTTAAGACCTTCCCTACTATGCGACTTCAAATCCCGCCGAACGCCGCGATTTTCTTCAAAATTGGGACAACTTAAATGCAAACAATCCTGGGAAATGTTTCCACAAAGTGATTTAAGCGCAGTCTTCCTTATAACAAAATCTAATGCGTCTCAGTGTACAGTAGCACATTAAAAAGCTCAACATGGCAGGTAACCTACCGATATTGTACCTCGGGCTGACGTTTGAACGCCTTGTCGACTGTAATGGACCCAACATAATGTGACTTTATTGCACCGCTTACTTCTGTGAGGCCGGGTCCATGTAACGCACGAATTATACATAGACACAGTCGTATACCAACCCGCGCGATCGATGAAATTCTCTCTCAGCTTGATTAGGACAGAGCATTGGCATAGGCATATGGACATTTAGTGGTTCTATCCGCTTCGGATCCAGGACTTCGTTAATTATTTGAAATAAAACCCACTTTTAAAAGTCAAGACATTCTTTGAGAAACGAGGTAATTTTATTCAGTATA